GACAATCGTTGGCAAACATCTAGCGCGAAGGCGAGCGCGATACGAGTCATCGTGACGCCGGCGGTGCACAGCGCGTGACATACGAGCACGGTGAAACAACCATGCCTGCGAGCGGTCTCGTTGTTGTAGTGCACATATGTCAACATCACTCCGCAATACACTGTGGACAGTGAACACCTACCTATTTTAGATGCGGAGCATCTAATACTCGAGGCTTGTAGTGCGGCGCCGTCCGCAAGCTTCCTCCTCCTTTTTCCACCATCTGTGCATCCCTTCCTCCTCTACACACCGCGCGCGCTTCACTCCTCCACCATCTGTGCACCCTTCTTCCTCTACACACCGCGTGCGCTTCTCCTCTTCACGAACATTCGCTAGCTGTATAATGTAGCGCGCATGCGCCGTCACGCTTCGAGAACATTGGCAGCTGACGCGCGCGCATGCGCCGTTGCGCTTCTCCCCCTTCTCGAACATTCGACAGCTGACAGTGCATGCGCTGTCACGCTGTATATATACTCAAGGTCGGTGCTCGCTCGCTCAGTTGCCGCTCGTCGGTTGGTTTGTACGGCGCGTCGACGTCCGAGGTCGCAATGATCGACGTCCCTTCGACCAGCGCCGGCCAAAGTGTTGGCGGAACCGCAACCAAGTCGTCGTCCGAAGACAAGGCAGCGCGGAGATGAGCTCGCGACGCCGAACGTAAACGTCGGCGTCGAGCGGAAGATGCTCAACTTAGAGAACGTGAAGCCGCTGAGAGACGTCAGTGTCGAGCAGCAGCACCGGATTCGGCCGCTTTGAAACGTAAGCGTCGACAAGAGGAGCCGGACTTTCGAAAACGGGATACGTGTCGTACGTGTTCACTCATTTAACACCCCTCCTACAACCACGTTAACCAATTTAGCCAGCGACCCAAGTAAGTCGCAATTTAGCACCCCATTTCACAACCACGTTAACCAATTTAGCCATTGACCCAAGTAAGTCGCACTTTAACACCCCGTTAACCAATTATATGCTCCGCATCCTCCTCAGTGTTCCCCCGAGGGAAGCTGCGGGCAATTTTTTTTCACCTGGGTCTAAATTATTGACGACTGAAATTCCACAGTAAACGCATGTTGTGACTGCCAGTACTCCTTTCAGCGTGCTCCAAGTGAGACTAGGAACGCTGTCAGCTTGCCGCCAATGCGGAGTGCCCTACTGCTTCACCGGCCTTGCCTGCGTAAGCGCCGCTGCTATGTTTATGTACTCGTGCACCAGCGCGGCTAACGCTGGTTCGGCTGACACGATAGGGTACCAGCTGATAATTCCTATTGGCTGGCTGAGTGAATGTGAAGATTAGGTGAAGGTGGTGATATCTTTATTTCTACCAAAAAGAAAACAAAATGAAGGGGACGAGTACAGAGACTGGTTGCAGCTATTTCAGAGGAGGTCGGCGGGGATCCCTTGAGATACCGCAGTCTCCACCGCGTGCTGGATGAGCCGGCGTTAGTCTACTGGCTCGGAGGCACGCAAGGGGGACTCCCACAACTATGGGGTGCTTGTGTTGTGTGTGTTGTAATTCGGGCACGTCCACATCTTATCTATTAGTGTTGCCGGATATGAGCAATGTTTGCACCTTGGCGCTCTGTACTGCCGGGCTGTAAATATTGTATATAGTGTTTATCCATGAAGATTTGGAGGATTTGTATAAAAAGATCGGTGCGCTTTGGTGCTACGAATGAGCCCAAGTATGTTTCATGTACTATGCTGCCAATGTTTATTGTTTTATTACGTTTAGATGAATTCTCCTATCGGCACTAGATGGAGGTCAAGATACTGTGCTTATATATACCCGATGCTTAATTTTTTCCAGCGTAGCGCTGTCGGCCAGTGTTTGCGGTATTTTATAATGAAATAGTAGTGTGTGTATATATGGGCTGCGGTCCTATTTCGTAAGTTATTCAATGCTGGCCAAATCGGATTTACCATGAAGTATGTCTGAGGAGTGAAGGGTCATCAATTTTTTTTCGCATACGTCCAGACGGTTCAACTGCTAGTGCCACCGGCGCATTTGGCGAGGACCAACATTGAAACTATGTGGAGCTAGGGGGTAACAGTTGAGCGCTTGCAGTTACTACCGCCGTTAGTACAAAATTGGTGGAAAATGTGGGGCAGCCCTATTGATACCCTGGAGGACAAATGACATACCTCACTTTAGTCATTTTGCTTAGAGTCTTTGATAAATATATTATTACTAGGTGATTGTAGCAGGAGGCTAAGCTTGTGGGAACGCTTGTCAAAGACACGACGCTGCACTGGTAGGTCCCGTGCGATGTTTTTCTTGTGGCGAGAGCCATATATGCGAATTCAGATCATTTTTTTTTAAATAAATGTATGTAAGGAGAGGTTGGTGCCAATGCAGCTCAGACATTCTGCTATTTACAAGCTGCCCGTACTGATCGCTGCCTGTCGTTCTCTACTGGCCCTTAATGCGGTGGAAAATAAAAGGAATACCCCTGAGCTCAAACCT